CCCCTGTATCAACTGCCCCACCCAGCTCAGTATCATCAGCACACTCGCTGAGACTGCCCTCGGTCCCACTGTCCACATCACTGACAAAGGTGTGGAACAGTATTGGCCCCAGGACTGATCTCTGAGGGACACCACTCGTCACTGGTCTCCATGTGGACAAGGAGCTATTGACCATAACTCTTTGTCTGTGGCCATCCAGCCAGTTCTTTATCCATAGTGGTCCATCCACTAAATCCATATCTCTCCAACATAGAGAAAAGGAAGGCAAGTGGGACAGTATCAAATTCTTTGCTTGACTCCAGGTAGACAACTGGAGTTGCTCTGCCCTTGTCCACCAAAGCTGCAGCACCCCATCATAGAAGACCACCAAATTTGCCACATATGGTTTGCCCTTAGTAAAGCCATGTTGGCTGTCACCAATCACCTCCTTGTTTTCCATGTGCCTTAGCATAGTTTCAGGAGACTCTGCTCCATGACCTTTCCTGGCACAGAGGAGAGACTGACTGGTCTGTAGTTCCACAGGGCTTCTGCATGCCCCTTTCTTAAAATGGGGGTTTTAGTTCCCTTTTTTCAGTCATCAGGGACTTCATTTGACAGCCACAATTTTTCAAAAATTATGTATAATGGTTTAGCAACTTCTTCTGCCATCTCCCTCAGGACCCACAGATGAAACTTATTGCATCCCATGGATTTGTGCATATTCAGGTTTCTTAGATGGTCTCAGACTTGATCCTCTCCTACAGTGGGTTTAGGGTCTTCATTCTTCTCTGCATTTGCCTTTCTTGACTTGATTGACATGCTCGAACTTTGCTGTTGAAGACTGAGGCACAGAGGTTGTTGAGAACCTCAGCCTTCTCTTTGCCCAGGTTATCTATGTCTCCCATTTTCTTTTGAAGAGGGCCTAACCTTTCTCTTCCTTGCAACATATCTGTGGACACAAGGTGCACAGTGCCCAGCACAGGGGGACAATCCCTGTCCTGGTCCTGCTGCCACACCATTGCTGATCCAGGCCAGGATGCCATTGGCCTTCTTGGCCACCTGGGCACCCCCTGGCTCATGTCCAGCTGCTGTCACCAGCACCCCCAGGTCCTTTCCAGCCACTCTGCCCCAGCCTGTGGCACTGCCTGGGGCTGTTGTGACCCAAGGGCAGGACCTGGCACTTGGCCTTGTTGAACCTCACAGCACTGGCCTCAGCCCATTGATGCAGCCTGTCCAGATCCTCTGCAGAGCCTTCCTGCCCTCCAGCAGATCAACTCCTGCCCAACTTGGTTTCACCTGCAAAGTGACTGAGAGTGCCCTTGGATCCCCTTGTGAAGATCAGCAATAAGGATCCTGAATAAGCCCCACAGTGAGCTCTAGGGAACCTCATTAGCAACCAGCTGCCAACTGGATGTGGCACCACTCAGTACCATTCTTTGTTCCAGTCATCTTCAAGAATTGTTAACATCTTTGCTGGAATGTGACAACAGGAAATTCTTTCCTACTAAGTCTCACGCTCTTCTAACAACTATGAAGGAAGAAGCTGAATAGACACTCCTTTTATTTAGTCTTTACCATCCATTGCTACAGCTCTCCTATGATGGCTGCCATAGGGAGAGACAGACCTTGCCCTATCCACAACCAGCAAACGCTGAAAGACAGGAGCCTAAGCCTCCGCTCTAGCCCACTGGGCCACCCAACTGCAATGGTCTGCCAAATGAACCTGGAAAAGCAATAATCATGAGTTTTCACAATTCCAAGATTCAAACCCATCAGCACTTACACAAATCCTAGAGGGAAAGAAAAAGAGAATATGATTCACATATATACTTCAGCATCCTTTTTTGGTAACAGGGTGCATCGAATTCATGATCGGTCAGGACTGCACCAAAGGTGAGTACCAGTGAGCATCCAAAGAGGAAAAAGGAGGCTTTCCTACATCGTTCAAAGAAGACAATAACATGAAAACATAATGGAAGAAGCAGTAAATTTGAGGGACAGCTAATGGGCTTTTTCAACTCTTTAACTCAGACTTATGCATTTACAAGCCCATCCATGGGAAAAATGGCAGACTCTGTGATGAAAGATCCACACTGATTTCATAATCCACAGTATCTACTGAGCTAAAAATAGTCAGTTAAACCTCAGAGCAGGATGAATAAGATTCATACATTTACCTTGAAATAGAACTTGATTGAAACAAGTGTTAGGTGCACTTTCTTCTGGAAAATAAACCTATATGTGTTTTAAATTATGATGGCCTACCAGAAAACTTAATGGTATCATAATCTACAAACACCACTTAAAGTTAATAAATTCCAACAATGTATATCTATTCAGATATTAAGCTTTCAGAGATATCTGAAGGAGCCACATGGTGAGGCTCTCAAAATGCTGTATTAACTGTTGACGACAGAAACTTGTTCTAAAAACACAGTAACATCAAAAAAAAAAAGATAAAAAATCATCATCATGTAAAACAACTTGTTAATTTAAAAACTTCAAACCAACTGGAAACTGAAAAGCAGGAAAGCCATTTTTTCTCTTTCAGTCTCTAAACAGCCAATGTAGGCACAAAAGCATAAGATATTTTTGTTCCAAAATTCTGAAGGACATAGTGACCAGGAAAAGTCAGTTCTGCTAATAACTGCTGATAATAGTTATCTTGCTTACTATATCCTGGAGTTACAGATGCAAAACATGTTTTGAGAAAGCCTTTGTTTTCTTATAAAACAGCATACTGAATATTCATACATATATTATAAAATACTGTTACATTGGAATTTAAATAAAATTTTTAACTACATGAGCTTGATACTAATAGGAGAAAATAGGAGAACAAGCTGTCTTGGTGAGCAAAATGGATGGGCAGAGTAGGAGGATCCATGCACTGAGCTCTAAAGAAACATAAAGCTCTCACTGAAAAGAGGGTAGCCAGATCAAAATCTTTTACATTTGTCAGATTTAGGTGGCTTTAATCTGTATTGTACAGAATACACACCTGTCAGAAGATCAGAAGGAAGACTCTCTCTACTACTTCAGAGCATTAGTTTACCCTTGACAGTCTTGTCTTTTGAACTAAGAATGGAACTAGATGTAAAACATGCATCTACTCAAATAATGTTAATAAAACATATTTTGGAAGAAGAAAATATGTTTCTGGACTGTTATGGAATCAGCTACAGCCTCAAAGTGCAGAATATAGTTATAATCCCTGTACTGCAGCAGTACTGCAAGCAGAAGTACACAGAACACAGTGCAGGTAATACCATGCTCCACACACATGAGAAGGCAAGAGAACAAAAAAAGCACAAAACTTCACTTCCATACTTTCTTCATACTCAAAAAAGATGACCATGACCCTAAAACATACCTGTACATATAATATATTAAATGTCTGAAAAATAGATTTAATCATGTATTTTAGAAAACATTAAAAAACAGACTCATTGCACCATAACCCTGCTGCTTTAGATCAGCTCCTAAAGGTTATATATCCTACTTTTCCTTACTATCTATGCTGTAAAATTTATTAACAATAATTTTGTATCTTAGTCAAAACTGCAAGGAAAAACATGGCATGGTAGTGAGAAATCAGGCTCAAAAGACTACTAAACACATTTATGTTTTAATTTCTCTTAGTATGGTGTTTTTAAATTGAAAATACCCCCTACAAGCACCAAATTATGAAAAAATTCCTTAAGTTTAAATTATTCCAGAAAAATCATGATCTTTAATCTTCAATACTGCAACCTCTGTGATATAAGCCCAAAGCTTCCTTCTTCCCTTTTATCCCTTTTGAGACCTGTTTTGTTATGCATTAGCCTCTGATAGAAAAATCTGACCTGACCACTCACTCTATTCTTCCACCCAATACATGAAACTTCCTTCAATCATGAAGACATTCTCTTGCCCAATCAGTTTCTTAATTCACAGACTCCAGAATTTGGATTTCAACTATTTTAGACAGTCATAGAATCATTTTGGTTCCAGAAAACCATCACGTGCAACCACTACAGCAGCACTACCAAGTCCAGCACTAACCCATGTTCACAAGTGCCACATCTACTAGCCTTTCACATACCCCCAGGGACAATGACTCCACCACTTTCCCAGGCAGCCTGTTCCAGTACTTGACAACTTGTTCTGACAAGAAAGTTTTCCTACTATCCAATTTAAACCTTTCCTGGTACAACTTGCAGCAATTTCCTTGTCCGTTGCTTATAACTTGAAAGAGACTGACCCTCATCCCACCACCTCCTTTCAGGCAGTGGTGGAGAATGATAAGGTCTCCCCTGAGCCCCCTTTTCTCCAGAATAAACACCCCCAGCTCCCTCAGCTGCTCCTCACAGGACTTGTGCTCCAGATCCTCTACTCCCAAAAGGCAAGTAATGCAATCCATTGCAGGTGAGAAGGTAAGTGACACTTCCCCAGTTTAAGCATGAGTGCGTGAAGATGATATTCATGATGGGCAGTACACAAACACATTGGAAAAATACTTTTTCTCAGAAGGCAGAAATTGAAAACATTGAAGAAACCTGGGGCCAGTACATTTACGTCTGATTCATCACTTCGAGAAAATCAGAGTGAATACAAATTGAGCAGAGAGCAATTAAGTAAGAGCTTTTCCTTCCTTTGATGACTGGATTGGAAACATTTTGAGAACTGATTCTTAACCATTACACACAGAAGGCAAACGACTGCCAAGCATCTGTATTGCATTCTTTACAAAATGAGACAAATGCAATGAGTTAAACAGAAAGTTTCAATTCTTACTATCTCACAGACTTGAAAGAAACCAAAAGGATCTTTTTTGGCCTGAAGAGACACAGAAGCACGTCCTGCCCCAAGCCTGGGACGACCGCCTGGAGAGATGCGAACGCAAGCAAGTTTTGCTGCTAGAGATCCACACCAGTAACAGTCCGGGGAAGTTATATGAACTAAAGCGTGGGACTCTTCCAGACTTTATATAAATGAAAATAAGCAGAGACGCCTCTGCTGAAAATGTCTTTTTCACTTACCTCAGCCGCAGAACGGGCGCTTGTTTCAACAGGAGCCTCTGCCTCCCCGCGACCGCGAAGGGAAGGACAAAAAAAGGAAGTTGCACGGCTGAGCACAAGTTACGCTTTTTCCTGTAATTCTGAAGACCAGAACCCCCCACCCCCGCCGCAGGTCTAGCGGTGCCGGACTCCGCTCCAGCTGCCCGCAGGGCGCCGGCCGCCCGCGGCCAGATGCTCTGCCCTGCGCGGAGCCCCGACAGGCGCCCGCCCCCGGAGCCACCCGCCGGCCCCTCCGCAGCCCGCCCGGCCCCGCCCGGCCCCGCCTGGCCCCTCCGCAGCCCGCCCGGCCCCGCCCGGCCCCGCCCGGCCCCGCCCGGCCCCGCCTGGCCCCTCCGCAGCCCGCCCGGCCCCGCCCGGCCCCGCCCGGCCCCGCCCGGCCCCCAGCCCGGGCCCGGGGCGGAGCGGGACGCAGCCCCGCCGCCGCACCCGCCGCGAGGCGCGCCCGCGGCAGCCTCGCCGCTCCTTCGGCCGGCCGGGCGCCGGTGTGCGCTGCGGCGTTTTGGTGCCGGTGAACCAAGCCAGAGGGTCTTCAGATAGCGCAAACACGCGCAGCGAAACAAGGGTGTTGGGTACCAGCCACCGCTGAGGAGCAGTCACGCTAAAGTACCTCATGCATCATTAGGGCATGGGGAATAAATCAGATGGCGATCCCTTTTAAAAGTAACAAATGTATTCCACTTAATGGCTTGGAAGAAGACTGTAGCCGTCAGCAACATAACTGACTGCAGCAACGGGACTGTAAATCAGAAGGAACTTTACAATTAAGACGCTGTGAAGTTAGTAAATGGAAATCCAAAGTCCCTAGTTAATGTACCTCCTAACTAAGCACTGACAGTCGTTGCTACGCAGACAGTCTTCAAGGACAGATAATGAATTTTACGCCATCAGTACATCAAGAGACCTTGGCCCTAATTCAGGAAGAGACACATTACAGACAGCAAGTTTTTATCCTGCACTAGTGTCACACACAACAGAAGCTGTAGATTGACTAGTTTCAACTTCCATGACTTGTGCAGCTCAGGTTCTTTCAGGCTATTTTAACATGCAAGGTCTACACCCACTCCAGCTTCCAGATCACTCATTAGCCTTCACCCGCTTTAGCTAATCATCAGATTCAGCCAGTTAGCCCATTTGCTTTCCTTTTTGAATGATGTTGCCATCTCACCATCACCCATAAACTCCATGTAAGCCTGCATTGTAAACTGCTTTATTGTTTTTAAATCCCCCTTGCTATTTAGAAGTATACATTAGTATGCATAATGATATTCTGAAAACTTGCATTTATTTTACTATGAGGTAATAGATGAAACAGAATGTGGTTCAAAAGAAGCAGACGTAAACTGTAACCCAAGTGCTCTTTGGTATATCAGATTTTTTTTCTTTAATTAGAACATAAGAAAGGGCAGGAGCAGACCCTTAATTATGTTTAATTACTGAAACTCTATCCTGGACTTGGTCTGATTAGTTGCCTGTTGTCACACATTAATACATGGATTTCACTGACACACTGTAAGTTGGCAGCTCAATCTTTCAAAATCATTAAAAGCTGCACCAGACTTAAGAGACTAGTTAAGCATTTGTTTAACTTTCAAAAACCCTGGGTCATCCCTCTGCCAGCCTCAGGGCTATGTACATACTTACATTAAGGCTTCCACAGTCTTAAATGTTTGGTTGTGGACTGGACAGTAGCACTCAGAAGATTCCAGGAGGCAAAGGTCACTAACGATAGCATCAGTAACTGTTTCAGCTACTACCATTTGTAGCAAGTTAATAGTAAAGATAAAAACATCTTACAAAGGTAATATCATTTACCAAAAGTGATATGGCACAGAAGATGGGAAACCCTTAGAGTATAATAGAAATTCTGCCAAAAAACATGTTCCATATCCACATTTACAGACACTTTCATCCACTATGCACACGAATGCTCTAGAAGAACTAACATTTCAGTCTCATGGGTGGGCGCAAAGTGAAGCTACTCTTCCTGAAGCATGAGGAAGGAAGTGCCTTCCACAGAAAGACTCGACTGTTTTCATTGCTGATGCTTCCCTATTTTTTGTGCTGGTGATTCAGGGGTAATTGCTCCAGAGATTGGTTGATTGCAGATGCTGCTCCTTCTTAAAGAGAGGCATTCCCACTGTCTCTGTTGGCAGGGCGAGACAGGAGACTGCAGAACTGCTAAAAATCTGATCCTCATTGCAAATTGATTTGTTACCCGTAGTAGTTCAGTTTTGAAAAACATTTATCTTCTGTATTACATATTACCACACCTTATAAAATTACTGACTGCTGTACAATTACAGTGAGCCTGTATTAGTTAACACTGGCATAGAATAGAGCATTTTGTAGTTCTGTGGAAAAATTAGGTACATTTTCATTGAACAGTTGCAAATTGACCTTGCAGCATTGAATAGTGCAGTCTTAGCAAAAGCAGTAAAATACTGAATTTTATCTCAGGAAGTTGCAGAGTTGGTTTTAACCAAGAAACTCATTAGGCTGATTTCTACCTGTGCCAATGACTCTATGTCAATTACTTCATTCCTCTAAATGTAAAGAGGAGGGCATGACAACAGACTTTCATTGACTTATGGCATTGCAAAACACAAATAAAAAACATGAGTGTCCTTCTATTCCCCACTGATTTAACTCATGGGGAAGAAAAATCAAGTAAAACCAGTCTGATTTTGATCTCAATTTCCAAATATGCATAATTCCATTTTTCAGTGAGTAGCTTGTCATTAGAAATCTACTAGCATCAGCCTCCATGCAAAGCTGCATTCAACAGGTAAAAAAATTAGCTATGCCATCCTTAAATTTCACTTTAGTGTAATATAAAAATTCAACAACAGCAGTATTCTCAAAACCATGATCTTAAATTACTGGTTTATGACTAAAGCCTTAGTTTAAATGCATAATCCAAGCTTATGTAACATATCACTGAATAAGCAACAATAATGGGTGTGACAACCCACTGTTAAGGGGAAGGAAGCACCTAAAATTTGTAAATGCTCACTGGTCAAAAGGAACTGCAAGTCAAAGAGTACAATATCAATTGGAAAGTTTTATTAGTAAATTGCACATTTGGCATGGAAATTGGTGCTAGTCCCTGACCTACTATATAAGCACACAGCACTAGATTTTTTGATAAAGGCATAGGGAGAGAGAGAAAGGACCACCACAATCCATCGTGTACCTAAAGTCAGCAGCCCTACAACGGGCACATATAAAACTATGCCAAATTAGAGTCAGACTCTCCAAATTGCTCAAACCTAAGAAAAGGCATAAGAAATGTACCAATTAATGTGTTGTACAGTGTGCAACTACCAACATTGAATACACACAGAAAGGTTTTAATTCCTAAGTGCAATTATGTGAGCATCTTTTTCATCTGTACTCTAGAGAAGATTTATTCCTCAAGAAAAGCATCAGGTGTTTTGCTAAGAAGGTCACAAAGCCATTATCAATTTCAGAATAGAGCACTATGCAATACTTCCTTCACAGCATTGCAACATCACAACAGCTGTAATTGCAATCCAGTAAAATGCTGGCAAATAAGGGATGCTTTATTCCCAGAGTAATGTCTTTTGTGGTTTATTACAGATTTTTTTTACATGTTTTCATCCTATGGTAATTTAAGATTCACAAGCTTTTTACTACAATTGCAAAAGCAGCTAAACATAATTAAACCCATTTGTACAAACAGGCTAAAGGAATTATTGAAAATCCCATGTGACTTTAGCAGCTGGATGACAAAATGCCATTTCTTGTAATTTTCCACCCTAAGACCATAGTGAACAGACTCGTTATGACAACTTTAATCAGCATTAAATTACTGTTGGCAGGGAGTCACTGTGAAGGCAGAGCTGCACTAGATTGTAGTAACCACCTGCAATGAAGCAAGTTTCTCACATACACTTTAACAAAGCACAGGAAAGAAAAAGAGAATATGTAGATGAGAACAGCTTATCATACAGATATTCTTCTCTTACACCTACCCCTGCCTACTAAATCATAACACAGAATTCCATATTGACTCATTTTTTGAACAATGCCAGGGATTGCATTGTGGACCCAGATCCAATTCTTAACAACTTGTTTCTTAAATTTTTCCTAATACCCAATATAAACCTCCCCTGATGCAACCTAAGGGCTTTTCCACTTCTCATGGAACCACAGAATCATTAACATTGGTAAAGACGTTCAACATTGAGTCCAACCTTTGATCAAACACCACTCTGTCAACTAAAGCACAGTACTAAGGGCCAACTCCAGGTGTTTTTTGAAATCTTCTGCACATGGTGACTCCATTCTCTCCCTCGGCAGCCCATTCCAATGCCTAATCACCCTTTCTGTGAAGAACTTCTCACTGATACACAAAACCTAAATGCCCCCTGGTATGAAGGCCACTTCCTCTCATCCTGTGAGTGGCTGCCTCAGAGAAGAGACTGATGCCCATCTTGATACAACCTCTTTTTAGGTCACCCCAAGCCTCCTTTTCTCCAGAATAAACACCCCCATCTTCCTCAGTGGCTCCTCACTTGTGCTCCAGACCCTTTCCCAGCTCCATTGCTGTTCTCTGGGCTCACTCCAGCTCCTCAGTGTCTTTCCTGCAGTGAGGGCCAGAGTTGGACACAGCACTCGAGGTGTGGCCTCACCAGTGCCCAGCACAGGGGGACAATCCCTGTCCTGGTCCTGCTGCCACACCATTGCTGATCCAGGCCAGGATGCCATTGGCCTTCTTGGCCTCCTGGGCACCCCCTGGCTCATGTTCAGCTGCTGTCACCAGCACCCCCAGGTCCTTTCCAGCCACTCTGCCCCAGCCTGTGGTGCTGCCTGGGGCTGTTGTGACCCAAGGGCAGGACCTGGCACTTGGCCTTGTTGAACCTCATAGCACTGGCCTCAGCCCATCGATGCAGCCTGTCCAGATCCTCTGCAGAGCCTTCCTGCCCTCCAGCAGACCAACACTCTCATACAGTTTGGTTTCATCTATGAACTGACTGAGGGTACACTCAATCCACTCATCCAGATCATTAATATGAACAATATGAACAAAATGAACAAAAATGAAACAAAAATGCCCCCAGTACTGACTGAGCCCAGGGGCACCCCACCTGTGACTGGCCACCAGCTGGAAAATTACTCCGCTCACCACCATTCTCGAGGCCTGGACATCCTGAAAGTTTTTACCCA